GCTTAATTACCTAGATATGTGGAAACGGTGATTCCTATGAAAAAGGTTAATATACAATAAAAAAAAATGCATTTTGTCAATATCTATTTTTTTAAGATAAACATAATAAAATAAAATATATATATATATATAATTATTAGATCGATTTAATTTTTTTTACTGATAATACGCACGAAGAGTTCTACAAGGTGAACAGAGCCGGTCCCAAGGTGAGGATTAAAATATATAACTAATAATTCATATTATTAAGTCGTGTCATATTTGGATTCATGTTGAAAAATAGTCAACCCTAACTTGCTAATTTTATATATTGCTTGAATTATGTCGAAAATTCTCATTCTTACCCCCAATTAATTTTAGTTATTATAGCATTGGTAAGCTAAAAAATAAAGATTCGATTTTATTAATTGAAGTTCAACTATTTTATATATATATTTGTTATCTAAATTTTGTTAAATTGTAATCCAATAGAAATAAATTTTTATCTTTTTTGTTTTATCCAAATAATTTATTTTTATTTTTATTTTTTGGGGTAATGATATATGAAGAGCCTAATTTAAAAAATTTGCCTTAGGCTCCTAATAACTTAGGGCCTACCCTGAAGGTGAACAATTTGAATCATTGAAACGGGATTCATGGTGAGCCCCATTGAGCCCTTATGAATTCGAAATAAGTTTAATCTAATTTATTTCTCTCAAATGGGTAATGCTTGGTTTAGTTTTTAAAATATGTTTTAAAAAAATTTAAAAACAAATTTTGTGAAAAATAAAAAATAAAAATTATTTTCTTATAGATTTTTTTTTTAAGGATAAAATTTATTTAGCTTGCAATATTTTTTTTTAAAAAAAGGAGGAACTTGTCTTTGAGGATGATACTTTGACATGGGATGATGTTGCTAGAGCTGCTGGAGTTGAGGAAAGTAGTCAAAGAACTAGATCAACAAGGGCAATAGAAAGGGGTTGTTCAACTTCAAAATCAGCAGCTAGACCTAGATTGCAACTTATTGATGAGGAAGAGTCAATTTCAGATGGGGGAGAGGAAGAAGATGCAGAGGGATATGCTGAAGCCAATGATAATGAAGAAGAAGTTCATTTGCTTGATGTTGAAGATGATTTTTAGAACTTTTGGATTGGTGGATTGTATTTGTCTTTGTTGGATATTTTCTTTTGTTTATGGATATTAAGTATTTGGAATGATAACTGCATGATGGTTCTTGAAAATATTTATATTTTTGTCTATACCATTTATTTTAAAAAAATATCATTTCTGGTCGCCTCGCTTCGATGAAGCCCTCGCCTCGCCTCGTCGCCTCGCGCTTAGGCGTTAGGTGACCTTGTCGCCTCGGTTCGCTTTTCGCCTTAAAAAACACTGCACATATCAAATATCACATCAACAATTCCCCACTCAAATCAAACCTCTTTTCCAAAACTATTTTCAAAACTCTTTACCAAACAAATTTTCTACACTCAAATCATAATTCTACAACACACAAACTCAAAATACAATTCATACTCTCAAATCACATTTACAAAACACAACCAAACGCAACCTTAGATTTTGCATTCGCTTCTGACTTGGTGGTGGCCAATACTATGTATAAGAAGAGGAAGAATTGATAACCTTTGAGAGTGGGTCAGTTAAGAACCAAATAGGTTACTTTTTAGTGAGAAAAGTGGACCGCCTAAAATACAGTGATTGTAAGGTGATTCCTAGAGAGAGTCTAACCTCTCAACATAGGATTGTGGTACTAGATTTATGTTTTAAAGGGCAATACCAAGGTAGGAAGATTGGTGGACGTAGGACGAGATGATAGGACCTAAAAGGGAATAATCTAGAAATATTTAAGAATAGAATGGATAAGGAAGGTACTTGGGACTTGGAAGATGATGCTAACACTATGTGAAACTTGATGGCCAATTGTATGAGGAGAATCTCGAGGGAAATGCTTAGAGAGTCGAAAGGATCAAGACCCTGCTCTAGGAAAACTTGGTGGTGGAGGGAAGTGGTTCAAGCGGTAGTTTAGACAAAAAAAGAGTGCTTTAAAATGTGGTAGAAGGTTAGAACTGAGAAAAACGTTAAGAGCTATAGATTGGCTAATAAGGAGGTCAAGAAAGTAGTGAGAGAGGCTAAGTTGAAAGCGTATGATGACCTATACACTAGACTAGATAGTAAGGAAGAAGAGAAGAGGGTATACAAACTTGTTAAGATACAGGAGAGGAAAACAAGAGATTTTAATCAAGTTAAGTGCATCAAGAGTGAGAATTCTAGGGTATTGGTGAAGACTGAAGAGATTAAGAAGAGATGGAAGAACTATTTTGAGAAACTATTAAATGAGGAACATGGAGATATGTCAATAGGGGAAGAAATAGCCAGTAATACAATAAACGAAAACTATAGGTTCTATCGCAGGATTAGGAACATTGAAGAGGAGATTGCACTTAAGAAGATGAAATCAAATAAGGCTTTAAGACCCGATGATATCCTATTGAAGCTTGGAAGTGTTTGGGTAAAAAGGGAATTGGTTGGTTGACTAGATTGTTTAGCAAAATTTTGTTGACTAGGAACATGCCAGATGAGTGGAGGAAAAGTATCTTAGTACCAATCTATAAGAATAAAGGAGATGTCTAGAATTGCAACAACTATAGAGGAATCAAGCTAATGTGTCACATAATAAAAGTGAGGGAGAGGGTGATGGAACGCCGATTGCAAGATATAACAGATGTGTCAGAGAATCAATTTGGATTTATGCCTGACAAGTCAACAATGGAAGCGATCTATCTTTTGAGAAGAGTAATAGAAGGGTATAGGGAAAAGAAAAGAAACATTCATATGGTGTTTATTGACCTGGAGAAAACATATGATATAGTGCCTCGGAATATAATATGGTAGGTGTTAGAGAAGAAAGGGGTGACAAAAGGTTACATTGATGTGATTAGGGACATGTATAAAGGGGTGGTGACCACTATTAGATCGCCTGCTGGGGAGACAAATGAATTTTCTATCATTGTAAGGTTACACCAAGAATCTACCTTAAGTCCTTATCTTTTTGCTTTAGTTATGGATGAGTTGACAAGAAATATCCAGAGGATAAGTGAAGAGGATAAGTGAAGATTAAGAACCAAGAATTGCCTAAGAGTGAACATTTTCGTTATTTAGGGTCGATTATCACAACAACGGGAGAGATTAATGCGGATGTGGCCCATAGGATTAAGGCGGGATAGTGTAAATGAAGAAGTGCGTCTGGGGTACTATGCGATAAACGAATACCCACTAAACTTATAAGTAAGTTCTATAGAACGGTTATTAGACCAACGATGTTGTATGGAACGGAGTGTTGGGCAACCAAGAAACAACATATAGATAAGATAAGTGTGGCTGAGATGAGAATGCTAAGGTGGATGTGTGGCAAGACTAGATAAGACAGAAATAGAAATGAGTTTACTCAGGAATGAGTTTATTCGGGAATGGATAGAAGTAGCACCGATAGAAAATAAGTTCAGAGAGAATCGATTGAGATGGTTTGGTCATATTCAACGGAGACCAACAGAGGCAGTAGTGAAGAGATGCGATGCTGTAACGGTAAATGGAAGTGTTAGGGGACAGGGTAAGCTAGATTAACGTTGCTTAGCGTTGTAAATAGAGATATGGATCTACTTAATTTGACTAACGAAATGGCCTTTGATAGGGCCACTTGGAGAGGAAGGATTCATGTAGTCGACCCCATTTGATGGGACTCAAGACTTGGTTTGGTTTGGAATATATTGCTCTTCAAGACGAGGCATTGCACCTTCCTCCACTATCACCCACCTCAATCCTTTTAATCTACTAAGCAATAAAATCTTAAGCTTAAGGAACCCACCAGCCTGGAAACACAATTCCTCCTCTTCATATGCCTCAACAAGATCAAGATAAAACAGATTGGGTAAACCTTGAAGATATTGTAGTGGACTAGTATCTTTTAACTTGCTCCACTATAAACACACTGTCACTAGGCTGTGAAGAAAAGGTGTCCAATGCGGTAACTTCTCTAAACGTCCCTTCAGGAATAGTGTTTGGAGAAGTCGAGGAGGCGAAGATAGAGATTCTAGATCAATGATCTCATCTTATTCTGTTGCAGTGACATACAATGCATAAAGGTTGATTAGCTTCTCAAGGGATGAGCATAGTGCCCTACCATCTTCACATCTTACCTTTATAATGCCTAACGACTTCAATTGGGTTAGCTTCCTTATCTTTCTTGGTACAATGCTGCCACTGCCATGGTTTGCTTCAATTCTACAGAGTTTCTGTAAGGAGGTCAAATTTCCTATTTCAACTGGGGCTTTGAACCCACACTCATTATTAAAAGAATAATAATTAAGATTATCTTCATTTTGAAATGCCAAGAGATGACACAATCTTTGGAGATGTAGGATCTCATCATGCAACTCAATGACGTAGGTGTGTCTAAGGTCCAAGATTTCCAAGTTCTTGAGCCTTCCTATTCACTTTGGAATTTTTTTTACCTCGGTTCCATTTATACTTAGATACGTGAGATGGCCTAGTTTGACAACTTCATTTGGGAAAATCTTTAATGAGGCACCACTCAGATCCAACACCTTCAGCAGTTTCAGATCTCTAAATGATGCAAGCATGGACGACATGCTTGGTGAATATGTAATGCTAAATAGGAGCAAAGAACGTAGCTGAGTGAAACGCTTGCTTTGTTATAAATGTTCCAAATGATCATGGATTGACAAGCGTTGGACTCTTTCAAGCCACCTCATGCCTCGTTCACTGGCTATTGTTATAATGTTTTGCTCTCTTGACTTGAAGACAATAATTTCACGCCAAAGGTCATGGATGCGAAATAAGTTAATCCTCCTTTTACCATTTATCTTCGCCACTTGAATCAAGCTTCTATTGACGAGCTCATTGAGGTAGCCCTCTGTAACTTGTTCTATACGTGCTCCTCCTTTTACTTCTACATATCGTTCTGTTATCCATAACCAAATTAATCTCTAATGTTCAATTAGATGGTCCTCTGGAAAAACACTCACATACAAAAAACAAAGCTTTAGATAGTGAGGCAAATCAATGTAACTGAGTGACAATATTTTCTTCATGCCCAAGAGTCGGTTATTTCCTTCTAATTCAGCACCAGGGCTTCGATAGGTCTTCTCCCACTCTACTACGCTGCTCTGGTCCTTCACCGATAAAAGACCACTGATAGCCACAATTGCAAGCAACAATCCCTCGTATCTTCTCAAGACGCTTGTCAAAAGTCCTTCCAAACGTGAAACGTCTTTTTGCAAAACAAGGTACAGGACTCTTGGGGAGACAAGGGCTAGAGATCATAGACATAGCCATTATATTCTCTACTAGAGAATAAGGCTAAATCAGCATTTCTTGTTGTGAGCATTACTCGGCTTCCACAGTTGCACTCAGGGAATGTATATCTAAAAACTTGCTATGCTTGAATATCCCATACAACATCGAAAACAAGCACATACCTTTTTTGACGTAGGAAGGCCTTTATTATTCCTTTTAGGCTGTTCCAATCCATAGTTTCCACTCCTTGTGGGATTGGTTGCTTGACTTCTTTAAAGAGCCAATAATCATGCTTTTTAAGAGCTCTTCAATCTTGAATGATTCTGAAACTGTGATCCAAGCCTGAATCTGGAAATGCTTCTTTATTGCTGCATCATCGTAGACCTTTTTAACGAGAGTGGTTTTGCCTAATCCTCGCATTCCCACTACTGAAATCACCTTCTAGGATCTCCCTCCACCAACCACCTAATTAGTTTTGTTTAGGGCTTCTCGATGCCCACAAGCTCAGCTTCTTCATGTAGAAGTGCATCTCCACGACAATCGTACCATGCGTTGTTAACACCAATGGACCTTGAGCGTTGCTCTGGTATACCATATCTATCATGGTACCTCTGATGTCCCATGGAAATATTGATGACCCTGTTCTTTATTCATTGCACTTTATAAGCAATTTGGTAGCGAGCTTTTAAAGTCTTGATGGAGAAAGAAATCTTACTGTTAGGTTTTTATTCTTGGCAATCCCGTTTGACAAAACTCCTTTCAGTTGTATTTGTTTTCGCACTTTTATTTCAGTGAGGCTATGAGTTTATTAGATGCGAATCCAACCCGAATCGAGCCTTACAGAGAAGTTTGTGATGTTAATGCTTTCAAGATTGCCACTTCGCTAATTATGAGCTTGTGCCCAAAGCAAAATGCAAAATTGCATTCAAAGTTGGTTGTCCGCCCTTGCTCGCTCGAACGAAGAAGTCCTCGCTTGAACGAAGGATTGCGTCTATACAAAAACTTGAAAGAGCTCGTTGTTCGCTCGAGCAAAGGGTTCGTGGCTCGAGCGAAAGCACTAGTGGAAATCACGCGAGTTAAGGTTCTCGCTCGAGCGAGAGAAGCTTCGCTCGAGCGAGCTTCAAAATCCGGATTTCTATAAGGAATTGGTTTTCTTCCAAAACTAGGATTACTTTGGATTTCTATAAGTAGTTGGTTTTCTCCCAAAACTTTACTTACTTCTCCAGATCTTCTTTTTGGATATTAGGTTTATATCTGGGGATATTTTGCTAGTTTTCTTTGATGCTTAATTGAGTATTCAACTCATGGGTTAAGAAGAATACACCAAAGGTTTGTTTGTTCATTCTACACAAAAGAGAGAGTTGTTCTTCGGTGGATTCTGAAGAATTTGAGCCTTAAGCTTTGGTGAATTCTAGAGTGGCTCATCGTCAAGACAATTCCGAGGTGAAGACGGGGTGGAAGAGACACATGGAGGTTGGTTCAATTCGGGTGTGGATTCGCTAGGTAATTGAGAGTATACCTGTGTAATTCCTTTAAATCTTTTTAGTGGATTATTTTGTGGCTTTTGCCCGTGGTTTTTTATCACAATTGGAGGTGTCCAATTGTGGTTTTTCCACGTAAAATCGTTGTATCGATTTGTCTTGATTGTTTGATTGGGATTGTTATTTACTGCTTAAAATTGATACATAATCACAAATCAACATCTAGGGAATTTTTAGATTTCTTCAATTGGTATCAGAGCGGGTCGCTCTATTTTGTTTTAAAAAACTTTTGAGCGAGATCTTGTTTGATTTGTGATAATGGATTCAATACGTGAGGGAAATTCTATGGTTCGACCACCCCTACTTGACGGATCCAATTATTCTTTTTGGAAAGCTCGGATGAGATCGTTTTTGAAATCTATTAATGAAAAAGTCTGGCAATCTGTCATGTATGGGTGGACTGAACCAACGATTACTATTAATGGAGTAACTTTTCCCAAACCAATTAATAAGTGGGACACAATTGATTACCAAAATAGTAGCTGGAATAGTAAAGCTATCAATTCTCTCTTTTGGGCTGTCACACCTGAAAAGTTTAGTCGTATTTGTAATTGTGAAGTTGCAAAAAAGGCTTAGGATATCTTACAAACTATTCATGAGGGCACTCTCTCTGTGAAACGCTCAAAACTTTAAAGGCTCACATCTAGTTTTGAAAACCTTTCAATGAAAGATAGTGAGACCTTTGATGAATTTTATGCGAAATTGAGTGACATTGTAAATTCCAGCTTCAATTTAGGTGAAAAAAATACCAGAATCCAAAGTTATGGGAAAAATTTTGAGATCCTTGCCCGATCGGTTCCAACCAAAAGTTACGGCTATTGAGGAGACTCAAGATGTTTACAACCTCAAGTTGGATCACTTGGTTAGAAATCTCCAAACTTATGAGGCACATAGGAATTTCAAAAAGAAACAAAAAGATATTGCTTTCAGTAGTGCTCATAAAGTTAGAGAGGATTCTGATGAGAATGGTGAGATAGATTCCAAGATTAAAGATACTTTTGTTAAACAATTTAAAAAATCTTTTTTGAAAAAGAATCCTAATCTTTTGGAATCTACTCATTCTCATAAAT